CACACACACACACACACACACACACACACACACACACACACACACACTGGTGTATGTCATTTGCAGAACTGTAAGACAGACATATCTATCACCTACTGATGGTGTGCGTCACACTGCTAGATAGAGAGAGAAAGAGACAGAGAAATAAATGAGCTACAGTTTGCCTGTCTATATCCTGTGCTGGCTTATTTGGGCAATAATGAGTAAGGACCCTGAAAATTCTCATAACAATTTGTCTGTCTATCTTTCTACCCACCTGTCCAGCCATCAAAGATAGATGGCTTTGACCATCGGATCTTACCACAATGCTGTGACGATCTAATAAGAGGAACAGAATGCATACACAAATAAACTTGATATAAAGTAGAATGTGATAGGGCAAAGGAGGACCAAGCAAAGTGCCCAGGGAAAATTCAAGGAGGGAAGGGTCACTTTCAGTTGAGAGGAAATCTAGGAAGACTTCATGGTTCTGGGGCAGCTAGGTGGCAGAGTGGATAGAGCACCAGATCTGGAGTCAGGAGGACCAGAGTTCAAATCCAGCCTCAGACACTTACTGGCTGTGTGACCCTGGGCAAGTCACTTAACCCCATTTCCTTTAAAAAAAAAAAAAAGACTTCATGGTGTCATGTTTTTAAGAGCTAGGATTTGAAGGAAGAGAGATCTCCAGAGAAAGACATGAGAAGGGAGCCTATGATAAGCATGGGAGATAAATGCACAAAGGCCAGGGAGGAGAGGATGAGATCTAGAAGAGATGATCGTAAGGGTTGTCTGGACCCCAAAAGAGCCAGCTGGTCACTAACCGTCCTGCCTCCATTGCCTCAGGGGCCTGTTGTCAGCATGGCTGGTCCTGTTCAGATTCCCTCTGGGATGGCAAAGCTGAGGCCTGCTCTTTCACAGAGCAATGCATGAAAGTAGTTGCTAAACCTTCAGGTGCTAAAACATGAGATGTTCTTCTCATAGTCGCCTCCTCTGCCAGTCACTGTTGTCAGCTGGGAGCCTGGCCAGGTCCAGGACCGTGCACACCTCCCACTTTGGGGGCCCAGGATTACTATCTGGCTAGCCTTGGCTCCCCTGTGAAACACAGACTCGGTACCTGGTGAGGCTGGAAAGTCTCTCCTCCCGCCAGGCCACGGCCTAGCAGGGAGATGAGCAGATGGGACAAAGCCTGAGCCAAAGCACACAGACAAACTCCTATCCTCGCGGAGCAGCTGTGAGGAACACTGGTGGATAAGAGTGAGGAAAGAATGCGTAACAAAGAATCCCAGGACGGAAAGGGGCCTTAGAACATGGAGGTAGAAGGGGCCTTAGAGTCACAGAACACAGAATGTCAGAGCAGGAAGAGGAGTCTTGGAATCCTACCACACAGAATGTCAGAGCCGGACAGGGCCTTAGAGCACAGAACACAGAATGCTAAGACTGCAAAAGTCTTTGGAACATAGAGCACAAAATGACATAGTTGGAAGGGGCCTCACAATATAGAACATGGAATATCGGATCAAGAAGGAGGCTTACATAGAACATGGAATGTCAGAGCAAAAAAAGGGCCCTAGAATCATAGACCCATAGGATATCAGGGCTAGAAGGGAAATCTGAGAGTCTCGATGGGGGAATTGAGGCCCAAAGAGGGGAAGGAGTTTGCCGAAGGCCTCCTGCCTCCCAAACCAGGGCTCTCTCTCTATACTACACACCTATATGCTGCTTTGTTATTTCCAAATATACTCCCTCTCCCTCTTCCAGGGAAACAGGGGCTCTGTTGAGGTCATCAGCAACAATATACTTGAGAGCAGTCATAACCCTACTTTAAGTGAGAAACAGAGACTGATAAAGAGTCACAAGGGACACACACACACACACACACACACACCCCTAAGCCATACATAATAGCAGATGCAAACTAACTCACATGCACATGCTCATGCTTACTCCCATATATGATACATATATACTTTTTTTGGGGGGTGGGGCAATGGGGTTAAGTGACTTGCCCTGGGCTATAACAGCTGGTAAGTGTCTGAGGATGGATTTGAACTCAGGTCCTCCTGACTTTAGGGCTGGTGCTCTATCTACTGCACGTCCCAGCTACCTCATATAATCTCTCATACCATGAAGCCAACTGTCTATAACTTACCTTCAACCTTCAGGGCATCTTTGGCATGGCCAATGGCCTCCCAGGGTGAGGGGATGTCAAGAAAGACAGCATCAGCCACGTGGGACACGCCAAAGCCATTCTTACACACATCCTGGTTCCTCACGGTCACCCATCGGTCCACTCGGTGCTCCCGGAACTCCTCCTCTGCCTTCTGTGCTCGCTGCTGATGAAACTCCACTGTGTGCAGATGCCCAGTGGGAGCCACTGTTCGGATAATGGCATGGGATAGGGAGCCACTCCCAGTACCTGGGACAGACAGAGCAGGAAGCCAGTCATTCATCTGGTAGTTACTGTGATATGCCATGGGGCCAGGCATGCATTCTTTTCTTTAAAACAAAAAAAAAAAAAAAATTTTTTTTCAAACAAAGATTCATATTCTCTCCTTTCCATCTCCTCAAGAAAGAAAAAAATAAATAAATCCTGGAATAAACATGAATAGTCGAGCTAAACAAATTCTTGCACTATCTAAAGATAGTGGCTATGTCCAAAAAAAATTATGTCTCAATCTGTCCTCTGAGTTCATCAGCTCTCTATTAGGAGGTAGGTAGCATGGTTCATCATGAGTCTTCTGGAATTGTATTTGGTCATCCCACTGATCAGAGTCCCTGAGACTTTCAAAGTTGACTATCTTTACAAGATTACTGTATAAATTGTTCTCCTGGTTCTGCTTGCTTCACTCTGCATCAGTTCATATAAATCTTCCCAGGTTTCTCTGCAACCATCTTCTTCATCATGTCTTACAGCACAATAGAATTCCATTACATTCACATACCAAAACTTGTTCAGCTACTACCCAACAGACAGTCACCCCCTCGGTTTCCAACTTTTTGCCACTGCAAACAAAGTTGCTACAAATATCGTTGTACACATGGGTCCTTCTCCTCTTTCTTTGATCTCTTTGGGGTGCAGACTAAGTAGTGGTATTACTGGATCAAAGGGTATACACAGTTTAATAGCTTTTTGGGAATGTTTCCAAATGGCTTTCCAGAATGGCTGGCCCTGTTCACACCAACCACAAATTCTTATCAGGATTCTCTCAGAGAGAGGAAGTAACCTTTGCCTCTGCTCTGTCACTGCTCTGCAATTCTGAAGGACAGACTGTAGCACACAGGAAAGGGTCTTGGACAGCAAAGTCTGGTGGTCTGGGCTCTAGATTGATATGAGACCAATCAGTGGTTTCTCCAACTATGTTTGCTATGAGGAAGGCACACTGAATTATTTACATTTGGCAGCATAACTGGGAAACTTGCCCAAGAATGCATGTGTAAAGTTCCCAATAATTCCCAGGGCAATTCCTTTGCACATGTAAATCCCAGACAGCTCACAGCATGCCTTTTGAGAACCACCTATATAATGGGGACAATAACTTCTGCATCTCCTTCTCTGGGTTACAGTGAGATAGGGAATAGGAAAAACTTTGTAAACATTAAGATATCTTATAAATTGTAAAGCAATGCCCAGGTGTGAACAACTTAATTGGGAATGAAGATTTATTCAACTGGCAGTTCTTTTTTTTTTTTTTTTTTTTGGCAAGGCAATCAGGGTTAAGTGACTTGCCCAGGGTCACACAGCTAGTGAGTATCATGTGTCTGAGGCCAGCTTTGAACTCAGGTCCTCCGGACTCCAGGGCTGGTGCTCTATTCACTGTGCCACATAGCTGCTCCAAGGCAGTTCACTTTTCTATAAAGCTTCAAGGCTTCAAAAGCTTTGCCCTCACAAAAGGCCTGGGAGGTAGATGTCACAAGGATTATTGCTCCATTTAAAAAGCTTATTTTATTTTTAATTTATGGAATAAAACAAGTATTTCCATAACATAGTATAATTAAAAAAAGATGACTGCACATAAAACTGCAATTATTACTCTATTTTACAGAGTCTCAGAGAGGCTGAGTGACTTGCTTAGAGTCACACAGCTATTAAATGGCAAAGCCAGGCCTCAATTCCAGTTCTTCTGATTTCTCCCATGGCTTTTTCTACCACACTACACTTTCTCTTATAAATCCAATGAAACAAATATCTATTAAGCATCTTCTATGATGATAACTACAGTGGAAATTCCAGGCTGGGTAATAAAAATAATAATAACTGTCCAAATCTCTGTTAGCACTTAAAGGTTTACAAATTGGTTTGCTCACAACTTCTCTATTGAAGGAGGTAGTACAAGTTATTATTCCCATTTTACAGATGAAGACTGAGGCTCAGAGACAGCTAGTTAAGCATCAGTACTGAAACTTTCTCAAAGAGGAAGAAAACAGGCAGGTAACTGTTATCCTGGAGACCTTACTAAGTCCTACTTTATCCTTTTTCCCCAAGAAAAAGTTTGGGGATGGGGTTTTCTTTTTTCCTCCTCTAAAATAAAATTCAATTAAAAAACATTCATTAAAGAAAAAGGCACCACAGAATGGTGAAGGGAGAAGAGTCAAGTCAAGGATGTATTAAGCACATGTCATACACCAAGCATTATGGGATACAAAGAAAGGAAAAAAACAAATAAACAAACCCAGCCCCTGCTCTCCAGGAGATCTCAGCCTAATGAGAAGACAGCATACAAGTGACTCTGTATGAACAAGCCACAGATAAACAGAGGGAAGGCACTGGAATTAAGGGAGATCAGGAAAGCTTCCTGCAGAAAGTGAGAGTTTAGTTGGGACTTGAAAGAAGCCAGGAGGCAGAGATAGAGAGGGAGAGAGTTCTAAGCACTGGGAACAGCCAGGAAAAATGCCCAGAATCAAAAGAGAGCATCTCATGTGGGGACTAGAAATGGGCCAGTGTCTTGGGGATAAGTATGATGTAAGAAAACGGGAAAGAAGGGAGTGATCAGATCTGGGAGGGCTCTGGAAGCCAAACAGAAGGTTCTTTTCGATTTGATACCGAAAGCGATCAGGAGCCCCTGAAGTTTACTGAACAGATGTATAACATGGTCACATCAATTTGACAACGCGCGGCAGATGGATGGCAGCGGGGAGAGACCTGAGGCAGGTAGATCGACCAGAAGTGTGCTAGATTTGAAGCTGGCATCCCAAGATTTGAATCTTTGCTCTGTGTGACTTTAGGCAAAGTTCTTAACCTCTCTGAGCCTCAGTTCCCCCATCTTCTAAATGAAGGGGTTAGACTCCATCTTTCTCCAAGGTTTCTTCCCATTCTAAATACTGTGCAGTATAACGTAAAGGAAGGCTTTATATGAGGTTGTCTTAAGCATGTCTAAGATCTCTCCTAGTTCTGAAGCCTAAGAAACTAGAAACTATGATTTCCACTGCTTGGAGGCAGATGTGGGGTGTATTGGAGCCCCTTCTGGAAGTCTAGTAAGTATAGATATGCATGGGGAGGTGAATGATCGGGGTGAGGACAGAACAGTGCCAAAGGGCATCTACCTGGAGGCGCACAGAGCTCCCTGACCTGGGTAACTGAGGGATAGGCAGGGGAGAGGGTGGGTTAGTGGAGAAGCCCCCCACGCTGATCTCTCTGCCTTCCTGCCTCCTCTCCCAGCAGGCCCTCCCTCCCAGCAGAAGGAGAGACAGATGGAACTGGAAGACAGAAGGAGCTGGGGGAGGGGCGGTGGTGCCGCTGCCATCCCAGGGAGAAGTCTGTGTGTGTTGGGAAATGGGAGGGGGGAAGACAGGGCAGAATTTCCCCACTCTCCACAATGGGGGCTGGGACTGAAATTCCAACCCAGGCTCCCGGCTTTGTATTAGGGCTACTCAAGGAACAAAAGAGCTGGTCTTGAGTTTCATCTCGTTTTACCCCTCAGCCAAGGCCAGAAGGATTGATCTCTGGAGGGGGTCAGCAACTGCATTATCACAGAGCAGGTGGAATTGGCCAGTGGAATGGCATCGCTGATGTCTAACGCCAAGGGAGAATATTTTTAAAGGCCTTGATAAGAGCAGGCAATCTCTGAGTAGGAAGGGACCTCAAAGGCCATCTCCTCCAAAATGAACAGGAATCCTCTCTAAAAAAAAAAAAAAAAAAAAAAAAAAGAAATCCAAGAAAAGTAGTTGTCCTTGCTTACATCTCTCTACCAATGGCAGACAACACACAAGCTGTCTACCTCCTCCCAAGCCTGCCTCTTCCACTCCTGAATTGTGCTCATTATTAGGGAGTGTGTCCTGACAGCATGCTAAACCCATCTCCCCGCACCTTCCACCAGGGCTCTTCATCCAACCCCCAGGGCTACACAGAGGAGGATTAATCCCCTTGGGGAGATTCTTTCACTATTCTTTCAAGGACCTTCCCCAGTGCTTTGTACTTAAAAAAAAAAAAGTCCAAGTGGCATAGTTCACAAACAATCCAGAAATTCACATTCTTCCATACTTCCAAATACATGGTGATATATTTAACAAACAGGCACCGCCTATGCATACACATTATATCTGTGTACACGCACGCACTACATGTGTATAAGTGTGTGAATACACACTATACAGGTATGTAAAAATGCAGCATGCATATATATTATGGTCTGAGTATATGTATATGTGATATGCACTCACATGCATTATATATACATATACACATACATATACACGCATATATATGTATACACACATATGTATATATACATATATATATATATGGATCACGTGTAGTCATTTTGCAAAGTTCTCACAGGTGGCCAATAAGTAAAGAAATGAAAGTCAAGATTGGTTCTGACCTTTTGAGATCCTTTTGGATCCTGACTTTGTCACCAACATACTAGCAATTCCTTCTAGCTTTGTGTCATCTGTAAATCTGATACTTGCCACTGAAATCGCTACCTAACACAAGGCCAAGGATAGACATCTGAGGCTCTGGGCTAAAGACCCTTCCAAACAGATCCTACATTAAGGATCACTTGGGCCAGCCCTTTTAATCCGTTCCAGTCTCCCTGCCTAGGAAGATGGAAAACAAGGTATTGTCAAATACTTTTCTGAAATCCAGCCTAACTCAACCTTGTTCAGCATCCCCACTTCTGGTCTAGTAACCCAATTTTTGAAAAAAGGGAATAGGTTTAGTTTGTGATGACCTGCTCTTGATGAAACCACACTCTTGTGATCCCCAATTTTGCATTCACATCAATCTGGAGCCAGCAGTGTGGGACAGTGGACAGACAGCAGGCCTCAAAGTTAAGACCTGGGTTCAAATCCCACCTCTGACCTTCTAGGCAAATAGCTGGAGTTTCTAGGGCAAGAAGGGTGGGAGTGAAACAAGCATTTACATAGTGCCTACTATGTGCCAGGTACTGTGCTAAGCTTACAAATATTATAGATCCA